CAATTCAGTCCTCAGCCAGGGGGGCCACAAGCAATTTTTGCATTTCAGGCTTCCTTTCCTGGAGCACCCCAGCAAAGGAGATTGGACATCTGAATCAGCTATGTAAGGCAAAACCTACCTCATGCTCAGAGACTCAGCATCCTCACTGAATGCGTCATCACGCCTGGTGAATGAGTTATTTTTGTTGAATGCAAAAATTCGTGCTCTACAAAAATATGGCCTCTTTAGGGACCAGGAAATAGGAGAGTTGATAATCTCACCAACAGTATTAATGTGTTTATCCTTCCTTGCAATTCTAAGGATCCAAGACATACAAAGACAAAAGAGATCTGAAGCCAAGCCATTTTTTTCAAATTAAACATTTTATATTGAGATGATTATAGATTAACATTCAGTTGTAAGAAATGATACAAATAGGCTGGGCGCGGTGGCTCATTCCTATAATCCTAGCACTTTGGGAGGCCAAGGCAGATCACTTGAGGTCAGGAGTTGGAGACCAGCCTGGTCAACATGGTAAAACCCTGTCTCTACTAAAAATACAAAAATTAGCTGGGCATGGTGGCACACACCTATAGTCCCAGCTACTTGGGAGGCTGAGGCAAGAGAATCACTTGCCCAGGAGGTGGAGGCTACAGTGAGTGGAGATCATGCCCCTGCCTGGGTAACAGAGCAAGACTCTGTCTCAAATAATAATAATACAAATAAGTTATTGTATCCTTTACCTAGTTCTCCCCAATAATAACATCTTACAAAACTATATTGCAATATCACAACCGAGATATTGACATCAATGGACAATATACAGAACATGTCCATCACTGTTGCCCTTTTATTTTTATTTATTTATTTGAGATGGAGTCTCACTCTGTTGCCTAGGCCGGAGTGCAGTGGTACAATCTCAGCTCACTGCAACCTCCGCCTCCTGGGTTCAAGCGATGCTCTTGCCTCAACCTCCTGAGTAGGTGAGATTACAGGCATGTGCCACCACACCTGGCTAATTTTTATATTTTTAGTAGAGACTGCGTTTCACCAAGTTGGCCAGGCTGGTCTCGAACTCCTGACCTCATGATCCACCCACCTAGGCCTCCCAAAGTACTGGGATTACAGGCGTGAGCCTCTGTGCTGGCTACTGTTGCCCTTTTATAATCACCCCAGTCTTCCTCCAGTACCCACCACCTCCTTAACCCCAGCAACCACTGTGTTCTCCATTTCTATAATTTTGTAATTTCAAGAACGTTATAGAAATGGAAACATACGGTACATAACCTTTGGGGATTGTACTTTTTATTAATTTAAAAAATTAATTTATTTTTAATTATTATTTTTAGAGATGGGGTCTCACTCTGTTGTTGCCCGGGCTGAAATGCAGTGGCACAATCATAGCTCACTGCAGCCTCTACCTCCTGGCCTCAAGTGATCCTTCCACCTCAGCTTCCTGAGTGGCTGGGACTAGAGGCACGTGCCACCACGCCTGGCTAACTGTTTTATTTTTGGTAGAGACCGCATCTTGCTATGTTGCCCTGGCTGGCATTGAACTCCTGGGGTGAAGCGATCCTCCCACTTCAGCCTCCCAAAGAGCTGAGATTATAGGTGTGAGCCACCATGTGTTCAGCCTGATGGTACTTTTTCCATCAGCATAATTCTCTGGAGATTCATCCAGGTAGTTATGTATATGAATAGTTTGTTCCTTTTAACTAATGAGTAGTATTCCATGATATAGATATACCACAGTTTGCTTAACCATTCACCTGCTAAAGGACATCTGGGCTGTTTTCAGTTCATTATTATTACAAATAAGCCTGTTATAAATATTTATGTATAGGCGTTTATGTGAGCATAAGTTTTCATTTTGCTGGGATAAGTGCCCAGGAGTGCAATAGCTGGGTTGTATGGTAGTCGAATGTTTATCTAAAAACTGCCAAGCTGGCATTCAGATGACTATATCATTTCACGTTCTCACCAGCAGTGTCTAAGTGATCCAGTTTCTCTGTATCTTCACCATCATTTGATGTTGTCATTGTATTTATTTTAGTCATTTGATAAGTGTGTAGTGATAGCTCACTGTAGTTTTGATTTGTATTTCCCAAATGGCAATGACACTGAATACCTTTTCACGTGATTTGCCATCTGTATATCTTCTTCAGTGAAATCCCTCTTCATATCTTTTGCCCACATTCTAATTGGATTTTCTTTTTTTATTCTTGTGTTTTGAGAGTTCTTTACATATTCAAAATATTAATCTGTTAGATATGTCATTTGCAAATATTTTTCTTTTTTTTGAGGCAGGGTATCACTCTGTCATCTAGGTTGGAGCGCAGTGGCATGATCACACCCATTGCAGCCATGACCTCCAAGGTTCAAACAGTCCTCCATCTGAGCTCCCCATACCAACCCAAATAGCTGGTACTACAGGCATGTGCCATCACACCCAGCTAATTTTTGTATTTTTTGTAAAGATAAGAGTTTCACCATATTGCCCAGACTGGTCTCAAATTCCTGGGCTCGAGTGATCCATTCACGCTGGCCTCCTAAACTGCTGGTATTACAGATGTGACTCACAGCACTGGGCCTTGCAAATATTTTCTCACAGTCTGTAGCTTGTCTTTTTTCCTCTTAATATGTGTTTTGTGTCCAAGAGTGATCGCTCATGACTGTAATTCTAACACTTAGAAGGCCACGTAAAAAAGATCACTTAAAGCCAGGGATTCAAGACCAGCCTAGGTAACAACAACAACAACAAATTAAAATTAATTTTAAAACCAGGTGTTTTGCAGGGCAATAGTTTTTAATTGTGCCCAAAAAAATCAATTTTTTATTTTTTGACATGATCTCAGCTCACTGCAACCTCTGCTTCCTGGGTTCAAACAATTCTCCCTGCCTCGGCCTCCAGAGTAGCTGGGATTACAGGTGTCTGCCACCACACCCAGCTAATTTTTACATTTTTTAGTAGAGATGGGGTTTGGCCATTTTGGCCAGGCTGGTCTTCAACTCCTGACCTCAGGTGATCCACCCATCTTGGCCTCCCAAAGTGTTGGGGGATTACAGGTGTGAGCCACTGCATCCAGCCAAAATTCAGTTTTTAAATGTTTCTTTTTCTGGATCATGCTTTTGTTATCAAATATAAAAACTCTGCCTAGCCCTACATCCCAAAAATTTTCTCATTTTTTTTCCTAAAACTTTTATAGTTTTTTTATATTTTACATTTTGTCCATGTGACCCATTTCAAATCTTTTTGTTTGTTTGTTTGTTTTTGAGATGGAGTCTGTCATCCAGGCTGGAGTACAATGGCATAGTCTTGGCTTACTGCAACCTCTGCCTCCTTTTGAGTTCAAGCGATTCTCCTCCCTCACCCTCCCAAGTTGCTGGGATTACAGGTGCCCAACACCATGCCCAGCTAATGTTTGTATTTTTAGTAGAGACGGAGTTTCACCATGTTGGCCAGGCTGGTCTCCAACTCCTGACCTTGTGATCCGCCTGCCTCAGCCTCTCAAAGTGCTGGGATTACTGTACAGGTGTGTCACCGCGCCTGGCCAAGAGTTTAAGTTTTATACTTCACTGAATATGAACATTGCGAATGGCTTCCTTTCTAGATGCTTTCCCTGAAAATATGCTACTTTTACAGCCTAGTTATATAACAGACAGAATTCTATAAACACCTTCTGGGCCAGGCGCAGTGGCTCACTTCTGTAATCCCAGCACTTTGGGAGGTCAAGGCAGGAGGATCACTTTGAGCCAGGTCAAAGCTGTAGTAAGCTATGACTGAGCCCCAGTCTGGGCAATAGAGACCCTATCTCAAAAAATAAACAAATAAAAATACCTTCTGTAACATAGAAATCTGTGTAATTTTACCAATGCCACAGAAAATTTTCAGGCCAGGTGCAGTGGCTCGCACCTATAATCCTAACACTTAAGGAGGCTGATGCAAAAGGAATGCTTGAAACCAGGAGTTCCGGACTAGCATGGCCAATATTGTGAGATATTATCTCTAATTTAAAAGTTTTTTTTTTTTTTTTTTTTTTTTTTT